GGCTTGGTTGGCTTAGGGGGGGCGTCGCTGCACTCGTGTCTGCTCCTCCTCGTCCTCCTCCTCCTCCTCCTCCTCCTCCTCCTCCTCGCTGCCACTGCCTCCGCCGCCACCCAGCGCGCGGCGCAGCGACCACAGCCATTCTGAGAGAGCGCGCGCGTGGGGAAGCATGCGTCCGCTGCGCGTCTCTCGGCCGGATCCACGTGGAGCCGCACTTACCAGGTGTGGTGGATTGGAGGGTATTTTGGTGCGGGTTCTGTCACCTGCGCGGAGCCTCGTGAGAAGGCGACGTGTGGCCTGAACGCGAGAGGAGTGGCCGTAGTGTTGCAGTGGGGGTGTGTGTGCGGAAAAGAGACTTGTTTATGAGAGTGTGGTGATTCGACAGGTGATGTACGTGTGAGGGTAGTCTTCTCCCCCCTGTTGTGTTGTGATGACTCATTTGTTCCAGGAAGAAAATATATGCATACGTACAATAGTACTACATATTGTCCTGTGAATTCGCAACCAGGTGTCAAAGAACGGTGACACGATTTTAGAAAGGAGAAACGAATAAAAGTCTGCTGCCGGCAAGCAGATTCTGTGACAGCGGCTTCGGAGTCACAACAAACGTTCAGGCAAGATGAACGTGAAGATCCAAGTGGCGATCCTGGCGACGGTGGGCGTCGTCCTCATCGTCGGGAGTCTGTGCTTTCAGGCCAAGTTCCAGAGCGTGTTCGACAACATCCTCGCCAACAAGCTGATGCTCAAGCCGGGCTCCAAGACGCTCGAGTCCTTCAAGTCGCCGCCCGTGCCGATATTCATGCAGTTCTACCTCTTTAACTTGACCAACAAGGAGGAGGTGCTCGAGGGCGCCAAACCGGTGCTGCAACAAGTGGGTCCCTATACGTACGCGGAGAAGCAGCTCAAGTACGACCTCAAGTTCGACGACGAGAAGGGCACGGTCACGTACCTGCAGAACAAGACCTTCATCTTCCGCGAGGACCTGTCGGAGGGGCTCCTGGAGAGCGACCGCATCACCACCATCAACGCCGTCATGATGAGCCTCGGCTCGCGCTTCTCCAACTTCTCGGGCGGCGTGCAGGCGCTGGTGGAGATGTGGTTCATGCGCTTCGGCGTCGAGCCCTTCGTGACCAAGCCCGTGGGCGAGCTGCTGTTCCACGGCTACCGCGAGCCTATGCTGGCCAGCATCGGGGCCCTGACGAAGGACCCCGTGCAGCTGACGGGCAAGTTCGGCTTCTTCTACCCGAAGAACAACACCAACGACGGGACCTACACGGTGTACACGGGCGCCAAGGGCATGGAGGACTACCAGAACATCGTGAGCTGGAAAGGCGAGGGCGACGTCAAGTTCTGGAAGGAGGACCTGTGGGGGGGCAACACGTGCAACATGATCAACGGCACGAGCGGCAACCAGTTCCCTCAGCCCGTGCTGAAGAAGAAGCCACTGCGCCTCTACACGGCCGAGCTCTGTCGCTCGATCTTCGCCGAGTTCCAGCGCGAGGTGAGCCACGGCCCCGTCACCCTCTACAGGTACGTGCTGCCCGACCGCCTGCTGGCCAACACGCCCGAGAACAAGTGCTACTGCACGGACGACTTCACGTGCAGGGCGTCCATGATCAACGTGTCCCCGTGCCGGAAGGGCGCTCCCGTCGTCATGTCCACACCCCACTTCTACCAGGGCGACCCCGAGGACGCACAGCAGGTGGAGGGCCTCAGCCCCCGCGCCGAGGAGCACGAGACCTACCTGGACGTGGAGCCCACCACCGGCGTGACCATGCGGGCAGCCAAGCGCATCCAGGTGAACATGCCCCTCCGGCGCTACAGCAACCTTCCCTCCTTCAGGAACGTGTCTGACGTCATCTTCCCCATTCTGTGGGTGAACGAGAGCGCCGTGGTGCCCCTCGAGCGCACCCAGGCCCTCCACCGCACCCTCACCCTGCCCTTCACCCTCGTCACGGTGGGAACGTGGGTGCTGGTGGGCCTTGGCATCCTGCTGCTGGTGGTGGCGGCGGTGAAGGTGGGGCTGGCGCTCAAGGGCAAGGGCGAGAAGGGCGCCGCCATGAGGAACAGACGCGGGAGGGAGGGGGACAAGGAGAACGGTGTTAGTGAGAAACTGAACACGGCGAATTACAGTTAGAAAGTGAGAATGAAAGATATATATGTATATAGAGTGTGTTGGTAGTCAATCAGTGTGCGCGATAGTGGTGCCGAACCTCACAAACTGGCACTGTAGCGAAAAGAAAAGTGCCATCGGCCGTGTGCTTATGGTGTCCGGTCCCGGTGATATAGTGACAGCTTCCTCGTGGTATGTCAGAAGTGTGATGAAGTGTGCATTATCGCCAGGCTCACAGACGCTGTATAATTACCCAAGGGGAGCAGTGGAGTCTGAATTCACTGTGTATATATATATATATATATAATAAAAAAAACAGATTTGTGTCGATTTTTTAGTGAGAGAACAGTGCGTTTCATAGTGTACGTGATGAACCGTTTTCTCATTGAGGGCCAGTAACTAGAGTAGGAATCCGCCAGACACTATCGAATGCTCATAGCCAAAGGGACATGTGTTTTATTATTTATTTCTGTGAAATGATGGACCTTGTACCCCCCTTTTACACCAGGGGCCTCGGATATCTTGCCTCTGATTAACGAGACACTGATAAGATGCTTCTTGTCTCTTGTACAGTCTGTATCTGATTGTCAATAAAATTCGATTAAAAAAAATATATATTTCTGCTCTTCATCTCTCACTTCATACCTCAAGGAAACTAACAAGCAACTGTTCATTTTCTTGGTAGTTTGTATTAATGCTTTTCCGTTCCTTATAGGAATAGGTGTACATAGATAGGCTATCTATCTGTGTGTGTGTATGTGTGTGCATGCATGTGTGTGGATGTGTACATGTAATTATAAGTGTAAGTGTAAAAGTATGAGTGTGAGTGTAAGTATATGTACAAGTGTCAGTGTAAGTGTGTCTTTAAATGTGTTCTCGTTACTGTGTGTGTGTGTCTCTGTATGCGTGCGTGATATATACATGTATGTTTGTGACCTTGTTATTTCCTTAACATCTAACACAGTTACCAGCACATTTGTAAACAAAGAAAACATGACAGCCTTGAAATAGAGAGAGAGAGAGAGAGAGAGAGAGAGAGAGAGAGAGAGAGAGAGAGAGAGAGAGAGAGAGAGAGAGAGAGAGAGAGAGAGAGAGAGAGAGTGAGAGAGAGAGAGAGAGAGAGAGAGAGAGAGAGAGAGAGAGAGAGAGAAAGAGAGAGAGAGAGAGAGAAAGAGAGAGAGACAGACAGACAGACAGACATACAGACATACAGACAGACAGACAGACAAAGAGAGAGAGAGAAGAGAGAGGAGAGAGAAAGAGAAAGAGAAAGAGAAAGTAAAAGAGAGAAAGAGAGAGAGATAGAGATAGAGATAGATAGATAGATAGATAGATAGATAGAGAGAGAGAGAGAGAGAGAGAGAGAGAGAGAGAGAGAGAGAGAGAGAGAGAGAGAGAGAGCCAGACAGACAAAGAGACAGAGAGAGAGAGAAGAGAGAGGAGAGAGAAAGAGAGAAAGAGAGAGGGAGAGAGGGGGGAGAAAGAAATAAAAAAGACAAAGAAAGAGAAAGAAAGAAAGAAAAGAGACAAAGAAAGAGAGAGAAAGAAATGGAGAGAAGGAGATAGAAAGAGAGAGAGAGAGAGAGAGAGAGAGAGAGAGAGAGAGAGAGAGAGAGAGAGAGAGAGAGAGAGAGAGAGAGAGAGAGAGAGAGAGACATAGACAAAGACAGAGACAGAGACAGAGACAGAGGACAGAGACAGAGACAGAAGACAGAGACAGAGACAGAGACAGAGACAGAGACAGAGACAGAAACAGAGACAGAAAAGAAAGGAAGAAAGAACAAAGAAAGAAAGAGAGAGAGAGAGTAAGAGAGAGAGAAAGAGAGAGAGAAAGAGAGAGAATCAATATGGAAAACGTCAAGGAAAATCATTTAATATTCGACTCTTGGAACCTTTCAATCCGGACAAACAAACAGGCCGTTCATAAGATTCTGTATTGATATAATAAAACGAGTGCCAGAGATCCCCCCCTCTCTCTCTCTTTCTCTCTCTCTTTCTCTGTCTGTCTGTCTGTCTGTCTGTCTGTCTCTCTCTCTTTCTCTCTCCTCTCTCTCTCTCTCTCTCTCTCTCTCTCTCTCCTCTCTCTCTCTCTCTCTCTCTCTCTCTCTCTCTCTCAATCTCTCACTCTCTCTCTCTCTCTCTCCCCCCCCCCCTCTCTCTCTCTCTCTCTCTCCTCTCTCTCTTTTTCTCTTTCGCTCTCTCTCTCTCTCTCTCTCTCTCTCTCTCTCTCTCTCTCTCTCTCTCTCTCTCTCTCTCTCTCTCTCTCTGTCTCTGTCTGTCTCTGTCGTCTCTCTCTGTCTCTCTCTCTCTGTCTCTTCCCCCCCCCCCCCCCTCTCTCTCTCTCTCTCTCTCTCTCTCTCTCTCTCTCTCTCCCTCTCTCTCTCTCTCTCTCTCTCTCTCTCTCTCTCTCTCTCTCTCTCTCTCTCTCTCTCTCTCTCTCTCTCTCTCTCTCTCTCTCTCTCTCCCCCCCCCCTCTCTCTCTCTCTTTCTCTCTCTCTCTCTCTCTCTCTCTCTCTCTCTCTCTCTCTCTCTCTCTGTATGTCTCTGTTTATTTGTTTGTCTGTCTCTGTCTGTCTTTCTGTCTGTACAAACAGACAGACAGACAGACAGATTCTCTCTCTTTATCTGAATATTGTCTGTCTGTTTATCTCCCTTTACTTTTTTTTCTCTCTCTCTTTCCTTCTTCCTCCCTCCCTCCTTATCTCCCTCCTTCTCTCCCTCCCTCCCTCTCTCCCTTTCTCTCTCTCCCTCTCTCTCTCTCTCTCCCTCCCTCTCCCTCCTTCTCTCCCTCCCTCCATCTCCCTCCTTCCCTCCCTCCCTCCCTCCTCCTCCTTCCCTCCCTCCATCCCTCTCCATCCTTCTCTCCCTCCCTCACTCCCTCCCTACCTCCCTCCCTCCCCCTCCATCTCCCGCGCCGTGCATCCCTCACTCCTCCCTTCTCCCTCCCTCCCACCCTCCCCCTCCCTTCCCCTCCATCTCCCGCGCCGTGCATCCCTCACTCCTCCCTTCTCTCTCCCTCCCTTCCCCCCTCCCTCTCCCCCTCCATCTCCCGCGCCGTGCATCCCTACCTCCTCCCTTATCCCTCCCTCCCTCCCTCCCCCTCCCCCTTCATCTCCCGCGCCGTGCATCCCTCCCTCCTCCCTTCTCTCTCCCTCCCTCCCTCCATCTCCCGCGCCGTGCATCCCTCACTCCTCCCTTCTTTCTCCCTCCCTCCCTCCTTCCCTCTCCCCCTCCATCTCCCGCGCCGTGCATCCCTCACTCCTCCCTTCTTTCTCCCTCCCTCCCTCCCTCCCTCTCCCCCTCCATCTCCCGCGCCGTGCATCCCTCACCCGCCCAGACAAAATGGAGAAAACAGCTAAAAATCACAATGCCTTTGAATAGCGCGTATCGCTTTAACAAGGAGACACATCAAATATGTATGTCGGGTGTACAGGATAAAACACATAAATTGCCATGTGAGCTGCTCGTATGTTTCAGAGGATGTGTGTGTGTCTGTGTGCATGTGGAATGTGTGTGTGTTTTGTGTGTGTGTGTTTGTGCGTGTGTGTGTGTGTGTGTGTGTTTTTTTTGTATGCGTGTGTGTGTGTGTGTGTGTGTGTGTGTGTGTGTGTGTGTGTGTGTGTGTGTGTGTGTGTGTGTGTGTGTGTGTGTGTGTGTGCATGTGTGTGTGTGCATGTGCGTGTGTTAGTGTTAGTGTGTGTGTATGTGTGTGTGTGTCGTGTGTTTTGTGTGTGTGTTTTGTGTGTGTGTGTGTGGTCGTGTGTGTGCGCGTGAGAGGCCGTTACTTGTGTCGATGCCATAACTGTCGACCACTGCATTGGCGGGTTGCAAGAGATGGGGTGGGGGTAGAAGGGGGGGAGGGGGAGGGATGTAGGAGGGAGAGAGAGAGAGGCAGAGAGAGAGAGAGAGAGAGAGAGAGAGAGAGAGAGAGAGAGAGAGAGAGAGAGAGAGAGAGAGAGAGAGAGAGAGAGAGAGAGAGAGACAGAGAGACAGACAGAGAAAGAGAGAGAGAGAGAGAGAGAGAGAGAGAGAGAGAGAGAGAGAGAGAGAGAGAGAGAGAGACAGACAGACAGACAGACAGACAGACAGACAGACAGACAGAGAAAGAGAGAGAGACAGAGAAAGAGAGAGAGAGAGAGAGAGAGAGAGAGATAGATAGATAGATAGAGAGAGAGAGAGAGAGAAAGAGAAAGAGAAAGAGAAAGAGAAAGAGAGAAGGAGAGGAGAGGAGAAGAAGAGACGAAAGAGAATAACTGAGTGAAGGGAAAGAGAGAAAGGATAAAAGAAAGGGAGAAAGAAAGGAACAGAAACAGACCTATGAATTTTCAATCTCATCCATACGCCTCCCACGTGAATTACCGACTTACTCGTTGCACCCCCCCCCCCCCACTCCCCCCGAACCCCCCACCCCCACCCCCACCCGCACCCCCCAGGAAGGAAACAACAAATAAATAAATGAATGAAGACTTAAAAAGTGAGTAACAGGGTCTGGTAGTACTGAGGCGCCGTTGCCTGTTGGCGCACTGGCAAAGGTCAAGGTCACGCATACGAGGGTTGAGAACCATTAAGAAAACCTTCGCTTTCCTCCTCCTCCTCTTCTTCTTATTCTTCGACTTCTTCATTTTCTCTTTCCTTCTCTTCTTCTTATTCTTCTTCGCCTTCGCTTTCCTCCTCCTCCTCCAACTCTTCTTCTTCTTCGTTTTCTCTTTCCTTCTCTTCTTCTCTTTCCTCCTCCTCCTCCTCTTCTTCTTCTTCGTTTTCTCTTTTTCTTCTTCCTTTTCTTCTTCTTCGTTTTCTCTTTCCTTCTCTTCTTCTTCTTTTCTTTCCTCCTCCTCTTCTTCTTCGTCCTCCTCTTCTTTTTCTTCGTCTTCGCTTTCCTCCTCTTCTTCTTCTTCTTCTCTTTCCTCCTCCTCCTCTTCTTCTTCGTTTTCTCTTTCCTTCTTTTCTTCCTCTTCTTCTTCTTCTCTTTCCTTCTCCTCCTCCTCCTCTTCTTCTTCTTCTCCTTCTTCTTTTCTTTCCTCCTCCTCCTCTTCTTCTTCTCTTTCTTCTTCTTCTTCCTTTTCTTCTTCTTCTTCTCTCACTTCTTTGTATCTTTCTTCTGTTTCTCTTTTTTTTCTATTTCTCATCTCCTCTGGTCTTTTTCTCTTTTCTCTTTTCTCCTCTTTCCACTCTTATTAATGTAAGGAGAGAGGAAGAGAGAGAGAGAGAGAGAGAGAGAGAGAGAGAGAGAGAGAGAGAGAGAGAGAGAGAGAGAGAGAGAGAGAGGAGAGAGAGAGAGAGAGAGAGAGAGAGAGAGATTGAGAAGAAGAGAGAGAGAGAGAGAGAAGAGAGAGAGAGAGAGAGAGAGAGAGAGAGAGAGAGAGAGAGAGAGAGAGAGAGAGAGAGAGAGAGAGAGAGAGAGAGACAGAGACAGAGACAGAAAGATAGAAAGATAAGAGAACGAGAGAGAATTAACACGAAAAAAAGAGAAACAGAGGGAGAGAAAAAAAAATTACAAGATCCGAGGAAAATTAGATAAACAGACACGGGAAAGACGAGCAAAAAAAAAAAAAAAATTGACAGCGAGACAGCGTTATGTTTAAATTATTATCGTTTCATTTCCAATCGACCGTTTTCTGTTGACTATTAAGG